CCCAATGGGGTCTAAACCCAGATAAATCCGTTTTACCCTGCATAAAGCTTATGCAGAGCAAACTCATAAATTGTTCGCCCTCTATAACACTGATAGAGAGATATGCACAGTTGTTTGCTCCCCCAGGTACTAATACATACTCTGAGTAAATTACTAAATAAAAAGTGATTTTATTAAATACAGACAGTAGGATTTAAGTGGTTTCAAGTAGTAACAGACAGAACAAAGTAAGTCACCAAGTAAAATAAAATAAAATGCGCAAATCTATGTCTAATCAAGCTAAATACAGATAATCTCACCCTCAGAGATGCTTCAGTAAGTTTTTCTCAGACTGGACACCTTCCAGGCCTGGGCACAATTCTTTCCCCTGGTACAGCTCTTGTTCCAGCTCAGGTGATAGCTAGGGGATTCTTCATGATGGCTCCTCTCCCCCCTTTGTTCTCTTCCATCCCTTTATATATCTTTTGCATAAGGCGGGAACCCTTTGTCCCTCTGGGTTTCCACCCCCCTTACTGGAAAAGCACCAGGTTAAAGATGGATTCCAGTTCAGGTGACATGACCACATGTCACTGCAAGACTTCATTACTCACTTGCCAGCACACACATATACAGGAAGACTCACAGGTAAACACAGCCATCTGCAGACAATGGGAGTCATCAAGATTCCAAACCATCATTAATTGCCCACACTTTACATAATTACAATAGGCCCTCAGAGTTATATTTTATATTTCTAGTTTTAGATACAAGAGTGGTACATTTATACAAATCGGATGATCACACTCAGTAGATTATAAGCTTTGTAATGATACCTTACAAGAGACCTTTTGCATGAAGCATATCCCAGTTACGTTATATTCACTTTTTACCATATTTTTCTAAAACTATCCCAGTTACATTATATTCACTTATTATCATGTTTTTATAAAACCATATAGACTGCACAACGTCACACCACCTTTGCCAGCTCTTCTGTTGCTTTCTTCAATATATCAATACTGCCTCAGTCTTGTCTGGACCAACCCTTGCACAACTGTCATCCAGCCATGACTCTCATTCAGACACTGGTCATGTGTTTCGCTGCACCGTCAGGTCAGAGGTGATGGAGATATAGAACTGGGTGTCATCATATGGAATATATAGTGCAGCTCATTAAGAGCAGGAGGGGTGACAGACACCTGCAGTCCACTGCATGGGAAATCTTGGCGCATAAGAGTACCTTCCCTCTGAGACCTCAAAAAGAAAGGAGTGGTGCCACTCCAGTAACCTGTGCAACCCTGCTAAGGGCTGCAAATGTGTCAAGAAAATCTCACGGCCAATGGTAGCAGCAGCAGCTGACCAATCTAAAACACTCAGCCTGAACATTTGAATTTCTTCTTCTGCTAGGAGGCGTTCACTGGCTAATATAGGCACTTCAGAATCTGTCCCATATCTAGGCTTAAAATGTGGTTAACTGAGATCAAAGAAACCCACGTACTCCATAAATTGTTAAAGTAGTCCTGCTATAACCCTCTTAAATAACCTTTCTCAAAAGAGGGAAAAGAGAGATGGGTCTGTGGTTAGAAAGAATGTCTGCATCAAAAAAGAGCCTTATACTAGCTCCCCTGCTGGTCACTGGGACTCTTTCTTCCCCATTGCTCTAGGGAAGCAATGTCAATCTAAACCAATAGCAGGCCAGTATTTTCCCACCGGCCATCGTCAGCCTGGAAGGACATAGGCGCATCTTCATCTTTTCCCTTTACAAATTAAAAAAGGAAGAATAATACTTATTTTCCTCAGTAGTTGGTTTAACAACTGATGTTTGTAAAGTGCTTTGAATGCCAAGAAGTAAATAAGCAATAAAGTATTACTTTCATAATCCAGTGGCTGAAAAAAATCTTAGCATCTCTTACCATGGTATCTTTAAAAACCCAACCAAATTAGCATCTCTTCATCAAAGCATGTTTTCAAAAAGTGTAGGACTGGAAGGGACCTCAATAGGTCATCTAGTCCAATCCCCTACATTCAAGGCAGGACTAAGTAATAAATAGACCAGCGGTTCTCAAACCGTGGGTCAGGACCCCAAAGTGAGTCACGACCCGTCGCCAGGGCTGGCTTAGACTTGCTGGGGCCTGGGGCCAAAGCCCAAGGGCTTCAGCCCTTGGCGGTGGGGCTCATGTTACAGGCTTCAGCCCTTAGCGGTGGGGCTCAGGCTTTGGCACCCCCACCCTGAGCAGTGGGGCTCTGGTGAGCTCAGGCTTTGATCCCCCCTCTTGGGGTCGTGTAGTAATTTTTGTTGTCAGAAGGGGGTTGTGGTGCATTGAAGTTTGCGAACCCCTGAACTAGATCATTCCTCACAGGTTTTTGCCTAACCTGTTCTTAAAAACCTCCAATGACAGAGATTCCACAACCTCCCTAGGCAATTTGTTCCAGTGCTTAACTACCCTGGCTGTTGGGAAGTTTTTCCTGATGTCCAGCTTAAACCTCTCTTGTTGCAATTTAAACGCATTTCATCTTGTCCTGTCCTCAGAGTTAAGGAGAATGATTTTTTTCATCTTCCTCCTTGTAACAACCTTGTATGTACTTGAAAACTGTTCTTGAAAACTTGAAATCAGTTCCACTTCTCTGCATTCTGCAGTATTTAGTTATTCCAGCTGGATTTGCACTGTGTGTCTGTCGTGAGCTACATGTCTTTAAACTGTTTTTCCTCTGTCTCAGCAATCTGGAACCAAGACTTTCAGGATTCTTATTCATTACAACATTGAAGTCTGAATTGTGTCCAAAGTTAAGCTATATTATTATTGAACAAGTCTGAGATTGTTTGATAGTAACAGCCATACTTCCTGACGAGTGAAAACAAAAGTAGACAAGCAGGCCTTCCAGCTTGTGGAAATGTGAAGACAATGCTGAATTCTTAGGCACATAAGGGCATTTATATTTCTGGTGGATAATAAGACAAAAACGTTCAACTGCTAATGGTACTAATTTTAAAATACACTTAAGAGTACAATATGGTGGGACATGATCCAATGCCCACTGAAGTCAACTGGAGTCTTTCTGATTTCAGTGAATGTTGTATTGGGCCCTTGATAGACATGTGCTTTCAGTGCCTCTTTAGTTTTATCTGCTTGTTTTACCGACAACATCAAACTTTTACTGCCAGTAGCTCTGCAGAGCTAATTCAAGCTGTGGAAGAATGAGCTATGTTCTGGCAGGCCTAGTGCATCATCAATGAAAGTGCACCTAAATTCTTATTCCGGAATCTTTATTGTTGTCAATTTTAACAAACAGAAGGAACACAGCTTTAACTCTTCAGATACTAGGTTGAGCTTCTGGTACTCTGGGAGTTGGAAAATCATCTTGCAAACTCGATATGGAAGTCTATGTGGAGAAAATTAATCTAGAACACAAAAAGATCCATTTTTATAGGGTTAGTTTTGTGACCATAACAAAATGTAAAACTCCTGTAACGAAAGATACCCTGTTGCAGTATCAGCAATTTGTCAGCCATCTATTACTATTAGCCAGCCCTTCACGATAACCTTCTGATGGCTGCCTGGCTCAGCATCTTTGGGTCAAAGGTGGCTAATATATCTTCCAGCAAAATCCTTGCTATCTGACTTTTTAAAAAACTGGGGCCTTTTAAATATTAAAGTCTGTTACTGGAAAATGCTATATGCTCTGAAAGTTTTGATTTCTCATACATCAATACTGATTTTGTTCTGAAAATGCATTCTGTATGCTTGCTTGTTCTACGTAGTGAGAATTGTGACTCATTCTATGTTTGCTCATCTGTTAGAAAGAGAAATAAGATGTTAATTTAGCAAAAGACTAACTTTTTTTGTAGGGGGGACAGTTTATTTAAATACATTTAAAATACAGTTTATTTAAAATACATTTTAACCAGCATGTGGGCAGGTACTCTTTGCATATCGCCGCATAGACTGTACAGTCCTTGATTGAGAGGCTGTAATTCAGTTGGACTCTGGTAATACTGTAACCCATAACAGCCTAGCTGAAATTATTTATGATCAACAGCAGCAGGAGGAGCCCCAGAGTGAATTAGAGGCTTGTATTGATGAGAAGTTATGTATTATTTAAGTAAGAGTTTCTATGCCATCAAGGGTTTGAAGCAATTAACCAACTGCTCTTCAATGTTGAATAATCTCCACCTTACTGAGAGCTGCCTAAAATCAGAAATGACTCTTACAATTTTTGTGTCTCACAGCACTCCAACCCCACCCCCGCTTTTACTTAAAAACCTAAATTGAGTGTGGTCTGTTCTCCCCATATGTACCTGTTACAAAAAGGTGTATGTTTTTCAAATAAAATAAAAGAACAAGGTTGCCAATAAATGGCAAGCTTTCTAAAAAGTATCTCTCGTAATTTCCTACGTGATTCATATACTCATTATCTAGAATACTGCAGAAACTTAAGTAAGAAATCAGCTTAATTTTTTCCCCCTTCCATCTCATCCTATTAGCCTGGTTCTATAGGACTGCTTGTAAATGGAGTGGACCTGTGCATCTGTTTTTGCCTGTAGTTTTAGGAGTCAGGGATTGTAGAGTTATTGGCGTGCTGATTTGTGTTTGGCTCTGAGTGTAGTTTAAACAGTTCTTGACAGGCACTTTCACTAGAGCGTCAGGGTTTTTTCTGAACAACATGGGAGCTTGAGCTGTCTTCAGTATACTTGACTGAGGAAATTAGTCTGTCTGTAGCTTAATACTCAGCAAGGGATGATAATTTCTTCCACTAAATGTTCTCATCTGATTTTCGCCTGCATCTCACAAATCCAGCAGGGCTGTAGGAAAGGCCTGCAATTGCTGCCACAGGCTGCTGTGGTAAAGCTCAGTAAAAATCTCTATGGAAATTAGGTTAATTGAGCTTTAACCATCTTGAGTATCTCTTGTTTGGGCTTTCCTTGTATAGATTCCCACAAGAAATCCACATTGTTGTTGCACTAAAGAAATGTGTGTTCTATGAAAGATTAAATCACTGAGAAATGCAGTTTTGCTTTGCAGGCTGGCAGCCTCGATGGTTTCTTCTCTGTGGTGGTATCTTGTCATATTACGACTCTCGGGAAGATGCCTGGAAGGGTTGTAAGGGAAGCATCCAAATGGCCGTGTGTGAAATTCAAGGTAACTAAGGAACTTCAGAACCTGTTGCACAAAATTCTTCCAATAAATTTCTTACTCCCTTATAGTTCTTAAATATCATTTTTTGTGATCTGACATGTCTTGTATCATGATTTCTTCTCCTCCTTCCACTCCCATATCACAACATGAATATAATCTCTATTAAACTTTAAAATAATTAAATAAAGAACAAAGTATTCCAAGAACTATAAACATCTAGTATGATGGGTATGCTGCATGTTGGCATAACACTTTAATTTCTTTTGTGAGCCATGGTGTAGGGGCTCACAGGTCCAGCTAAATGTTCCCTGGCACAGATCTAAAACAAGACAATCCACTCTGACGGTGTAAATCGTAAACAAACTTCCGCACTTCAGCTCTTAATCCATTAGGAGTGAGCAGACTAGTGACAATAATTTTGAGGTATAAATATAGGGAGGAAAACTGAAAGATGGACAGGGATACAGACTTGTTGGAGAAGGTTGCCTCAGATCTGCCTTTCACAGCAGAGAGTGTTCCCTTTTACTGACCGTCCCACACTAGTATAAATCACATCAATATGTGTCATACATGTTCTCCCCTCTTCCATTTTTTTCTCTCTCCCTCCCTTTGTTTCGCACTTCTTTCTCATTGTATTGTAGCCCTCATGGGTCCAGCTGGACATGACTGAGAGTTCAGCATTGCTCTTTTTTTCTTCCTTTTGTTATTAAAGTGGAAGGGATTCCTGTTTCATGGCATGGAACATTCCTTCCCCCAGAGGCTGACAAGTTAAACTCACTAGCCTGGGTCACAAAATGGCAAGTTGGAAAGTTTTTTGACTGTTGATAACTAGCTTTCAAATATTATTTGACCTCAAGTTTTCCCCATACATTTGCAAGAATCCCAGTATTTTTCTATTGCAAAGTTAGGATGGGTTGGCTGGGTGGGTGTGAGGGAAAGCATGCACCATACCGGAGGGTTTTGACTCAGAAACTATAGGGTTTTAATTCAGTGACTTTAATCTGTGTTGCTCCTAGTTCACCATGCAGATAGTACTCGGATGGATCTGATTATTCCTGGAGAACAGTACTTCTACCTGAAAGCCAGAAGTGCAGCTGAGAGGCAAAAGTGGCTGATTGCACTTGGAACTGCCAAGGCCTGCCTGACAGACAGTAGGACGCAGAGAGAAAAAGGTAAGAACATTCTCTCAGAGCTGTGTCTATCTGGCATTTCTAGCCTTTCTGAACAATGCATTTTTTACTTGTTCTTTATCTCCTGTGACAGACTCAGACCAGTGGGGTACAGGAGTCTGGTAGAGGGCAAATATACTGGTCACTGGATGAGTAGTTTTCTGTTCCCTGAGTGCCCAGAGCAGGGGCTGCATTAGAGTAATCAGGAACCTGCTAGAACCAATTAAGACAGGCAGGATAATTAAGACACCTGGAGCCAATTAAGAAACTGCTAGAATCAATTAGGACAGGCTAGCTCAGGGGTCTCAAACCCGTGGCCCGCGGGCCGCCAAGCCCCCCGTGCCCCCCCCCCCCCCCACCGCCCCTCTGCCTACCCATGGGATTGCCTCCTGATGCTGCAAACGCTGCGCTGCTCTCTGAAGCAGCCAGCAGCACGCCCCTTCGGGCCGGGGGGAGGGGGAAGGAGGCAGAGGGCTCCGGCATTGCCTCCTTCCAGGCACCGCCCCCCACAGCTCCCATTGGCTGGAAACAGGGAACCGCGGCCAATGGGAGCTTCGTGGGAGGTACCTAGAAGAGCGGCAAGAGCCGCACAAGCAGGGAAGCCTGAGCCCAAGCCACTCCCCCTCCCCCAGGGGCTGCAGGGACACGGTTTCAGCTGCTTAATGGAACGGAGCAGCACGGAGCCAAAGACAGGCAGGGAGCCTGCCCTGGCCCCAGTGAGTGCCGCTGCCACCCCGGAGCTGCTCTAGGTAAGCGGCACCAGGCTGGAGCTCACACCCTGAACCCCTCCTGCACCCCCAACTCCCTGCCCTGAGCCTCCTGCCACATCCCGCACCCCTCCTGCACCCCCAACTCCCTGCCCTGAGCCCCCTGCCACATCCCACACCCTGCCTGCACCCCAACTCCCTGCCCTGAGCCCCCTGCCACATCCCACACCCCAACTCCCTGCCCTGAGCCCCCTGCCACATCCCACACCTCAACTCCCTGCCCTGAGCCCCCTGCCACATCCCGCACCCCTCCTGCACCCCCATCTCCCTGCCCTGAGCCCCCTGCCACATCCCACACCCCAACTCCCTTCCCTGAGCCCCCTGCACACCTCCTGCACCTCAACTCCCTGCCCTGAGCCCCCACTGCACCCTGCACCCTTTCTGCACCCCCTGGGGGCAGCGTTGGGTTGGGGACTTCAGGGAAGGTATTGGAATGGGGCAGGGAAGAGGTGGGGCAGGCGCGGGGCCTAATTGGAAGGGGTGGAGTGGGGGCGGGGCCAGAGGCAGCGGGAGGGGGGGGGGGTCAGTGATGCGACCCTCGGGCCAATGCACTAGTCCTCATGCGGACCTCGGAGTCATCTGAGTTTGAGACCCCTGGGCTAGCTAATCAGGGCACCTGAGTTTGTGGTGTGCATGCAAGGAGGTAGGATCAAGAGGCACAAGAAGCTGAGAGTGAGAAGACATATTGCTGGAAGACTGAGGAGTACAAGCGTTATCAGACACCAGGAGGAAGGTCCTGTGGTGAGAATAAGGAAGGTGTTTGGAGGAGGCCATGGGGAAGTAGCCCAGGGAGTTGTAGCTGTCGCGCAGCTGTACCAGGAGGCACTCTAGACAGCTGCAGTCCACAGGGCCCTGGGCTAGAACCCGGAGTAGAGGGCAGGCCCGGGTTCCCCCCAAACCTCCCAACTCCTGATCAGACACAGGAGGAACTGACCTGGACTGTGGCTTCTACCAGAGGAGAAGGTCTCTGGGCTGTTTCCCGACCCACATGGTGAATCTGTGAGGCGAGAAAATCCGCCAATAAGCGCAGGACCCACCAAGGTAGAGGAGGAACTTTGTCACACTCCCCATTTTTTCTAGGAGTTTTGCAACTGAGGAATGATAAAATCTGTACTCGAGCTGAAGTGTCCAAACCTGGGCAGGAGGCTTTCAGCACCTCTGAAAATCAGGCCTCATCAGAGATGTAGGACCTTGACCCTAACTCTGACTTTGAACATTCTGATCTTGGTTTATTTTAAATTATGAAAAAACTAATTAATCCCCACAGCTACTTAAGCCTTCAAGGATCCTGTAACAGTTAAATAGGGAACACCCAGACTTCTCAAAGGAATGTCTTAAACACACATACACACACTTACTAGCACATGAGACTTAGGCTGTGTCTACACTGCCACTTTCAGCGCTAAAACGTTAGTCGTTCATGGGTGTGAAAAAACACACCCCTGAGCGACAAAAGTTTTAGCGCTGAAAAGCGCCAGTATAGACAGCATGTGGCTCCCGGCGATAAAGCTACCACCGCTTGTTCAGGGTGGTTATTTTTATCACCTGAAGAGCTGTGATGTGGGCAGTGTAGACATATCCTTACAGATCATGGGGGAAAAACAACAATTCCCTCCCTCTGTGTCCTCACCGCTCCTAAGAGTCTTTTGGGTCTGAGATCTGCCCGTGTTCGGGCTAGGTGGAGATGCCCTTGTCTCCCTGCAGCAAGTCCCTCTTGCTGCTGGCAGTGGTCAGCCACTTCCACGCAGAAACCTTCCTGCTAATAAGCACAGTCTTGGTGAAGAGTCCCAGTGTGAGGCCCCATGCCCCAGACATCTGTGTTCTCCTGCTCAACACCCTTGTTGAACAGAGGGTGGGAAAGCAGACAAGAGTCATTAGCAAGTCAATAATCTGGCACCATCTGGGTGACTCTTCCTGTGTTAACTCTCCCCAAGGTGAGAAACTTTCCCTTCATCTCTGGCCTTGCTATGCATCGCATCAGACTATAGATACACCAATTCAAACTGGCTCTCAACACAAGTCACAAAGAGTCAGACACAAAATGCAGGGTCTACTCCACAATGCAAGTTTACAATAGTGAACTGTTAGCCAGTGCATATAGGTTACACACCCACGCATTAAAAGTATTATGCACACGGTGTTAATATGGTGTATATTAAATATAAGTGTTGGGCAATCATGTGAAATCTTGTTATGATTACTCTTACTCACTTGTAAGTATCCCACAATACCTTGTAACGGTATAACTCAGCATTTGGCATAAGGAAACTGTCAAAGGCAAGATATGTAAGTATTCTACCCTGGTACAGGTAAGGAGTGGCCCATTTAGTTCAGAATTCTGTGTTCAAAAACAAAATACAAGAGGGGAACACCATGCTACCAAAAAACCAAGGTAATTGGGGCCCAGTATTTTCATATTAGTCTTGGATGACGACATGCTTTTTATTTGTAAACAGGTCTAGTATAAATAGAGGTGGGTTTGGGGGCTTATTTTGGGAACACATCTTCTGCATAAGGTAAAAAGAACATGCTGTGAGAACCTGCTTCTCAGAAGGATTGGGGACGTATTATCTCTCTTTCCTGTACAAGACTGTTTTGTCTATAGACAATACATTGGTAATTTGGTCTCCTGAACATTTTTAATATTGAAACCCAAGTGTTGTCAAAATTAATTGGCTATACATTTTAATCAATAAAATGACACAAAGCAAGATGAAATTCACAAGTTGACACACTGTCACAAGGTGAAATACTCAGGGTGCATTCGCTGAACTTGAAATACTTTCAGCTAACAAAATTAACTTTTTTTAATTTGGGGATCATTAATAATCTATTTGGGGTTTTTTAAACTGGCTTTCAGGCATTCAGGTCCCTTAATTATGAATAATGAGATAGATGGGTGTTAAGATGAGCTGTCTTTGTCAAGCTCCCTTTTCCACCCTCCTGTAGTTTACAAACAAGGAGCTAAGACCCTCTGACAACTGTTATTTATATCTCAGATTATTTAGCAAACAGGCACATTATAGTATGTAGGGATTTAGTCCTTGAATAAAAAGGCTCATGAAGTCAGACATCTTGTGGTTGAGACTCTTTTCTTTCTCTTTTGTAGTAAGTTTGTGTGTTATAATTTAACAGCTCAGCTGGAACACTCTATTCCTGTTTGTGTTGGCAAATATCAAAAGGTGCATGTTTTTCAAAGTGAACGTATGGGCAACCTAGTTCTAAGTCTTAGTTTTCAGATTAATAGAGAATGTGGATGGGTTGGACTGCATTGAAATAGTACTAGTTATTTCCTCAACATTCCAAAAACGTCTACTGCAAGACTGATGGGATGTGTCCAACTCTCTTCTTGTTTCATTTTTAGAGCTCACTGAAAACACCGAAGCCTTGAAAATCAAAATGTCAGAGCTTAGACTGTACTGTGACCTCCTTGTTCAGCAAGTGGATAAAACTAAGGAAGCTAGCATTTGTGGTGTATCAGAATCAGAGGTACAACTTTGTTTTCATACAGCCCTATCCCACTGGGTGCTGAGCACTCTGGACTTGTCCTGTGGATTGAACACCTCACAGAATGAACCCATCATGACTTAAGGAAGGATGTTATCCAGTTTAATGTTGCACTGACTTTCCTGCTGAATGCACACAGGAGAAAAGTACCTAAGCAACAGACTTTAGTTAGCAATATGATATTATTTTTATTATGTATTGCTATCCATTATGCTGGCTAGTACTGAGGTCATATACAGTAACTATGATCATGATAGTAATGCCTCAAAAAAAATTATGGTTTCACTGATCTTGTGCATATAGTTCATGTTTCCAGGAATAAAGTGCACATACTTGATGAAGAGATGCTATGCAAGACGTGTATAGCACCTGATCCTAATTAGACTGCAGTCCAGGACCGCTAAAATCCTCCTTCAGTCAGTTCTGTTCTTAGGCTGAATACGTAATGACTAAGAGATAATGTAGAGCCACAATGAAACTCAACTAAAGGAAGAAACTTGCTGACTGGCCCATGTGATGGCTTTCGGAGTTTTAACAACATTTGTTGGTTTCGCATTAGAAAAGAAATACCAGTTCCAGAGGTATCTCTTATAAGCTTTCCTAACAGAAGGAGCTCAGTTTGGGAATGGCCTTCTAAAGAAGAGGGTATGCTCCTTCTCAATGCGAGGGGTAGGGAGGTGGAAGGAATATATGTGAGAAGAACTTAGCCTCTCGGACAGGAAGTGTGGTTTTCCAAGTTGTACACTCCTTCTGTGGTGCCTCCCAGAGGAATTTTATTCACAAGTTGCGGGGCTGGCAGATGACTGCATGAAGGGGAGTTATTGTGGTGTCCTAGCCAGCCAAGTAGAGACACTGGCTGAAGTCTTGATGATGGATTTAACAAACTGTGGTGGTAGTAATGTTATTGTGCCTAATTTGGTCTTGTATAAAGGACTAGTAAGCAGTTGTTAGAACTGTTGTAACAAACACACACATAATGTTGTATTTACCCACTTCATAATTCAGTGTTGTGGGGAAACTGAGTCAATATTTTTAGTGTCCCTTTACCTGGCAATGGATTATTCAGAGCTGCAAGGGTTTAGCCTAATAGCAATCCGCTATCAATAACATGTTTCTATGTTGCATCTAATACACAAGGGTCAGGACAGATGTAACCCTTTGTCCAGAGTATGTTATATAGACAAAGTAGGGGTTTGGTGCCAGCATAGTACTTTGTTTTGCACCTTGTTCAATTGCAGTCACCTTTCTTTGGGTATAGGTACAATACATAAATAATCTTATCCTAGGCCACTTGAATTGTCAGCTTTTCATTCCCTTGCCATGGTGTCCTCTGGTCATGCCAACCTAATAGCAGAATGTCAGGTCCTGGACCAAAACTGAATTCAGCATGGCATGTGTTTACCATGTTTTAACTCTGGGCAAGTGGCATATAAATAGATGTTGCTGTTGAAATGCTGCGTTTTGAGATTGGTGTCAGTGGAGGCTGACAGCAACAGGAACATCTTCATGCAATCCCAATAGTGTCTGTTGTCATCGCTGTAATCAGATGGCCTCATATGTTTAGTTCTTTGAAGATACTGAGCTTCTGATGATTAAGAAACACGACTGTTGGGATGATGGGTTTTGTAAACTTCAGTCTTTCCAAATTAGGCGTTGATGGCAAATAAAGTGTCTTGCCATCTGGTTATTTCACAGAATGGAATTGATATGGGAGCTCTGTTGAAATCAACATGTAACACTTTCCTGAAGACTCTTGAAGAATGTATGCAGATTGCAAATGTGGCCTTCTCTTCTGAATTATTACATCACACCCCATTGGGATCTCCCCACTTGGCTGTTCTCAAATCAAACAAGGTAATGTTGTGCAATCTCTGCTGTCAATCTCAACATCGAAAGCGTACTGCCTTTCCTGGAAAGTAGTAGCTGTGGTAGTAAGGAATGGGGGTTTTAGCCCAGGATCGAGATAGTAACCATCCACTGGTGACATCCTGGTGTGTCATATGGATTGCAAGTGATGCAGGACTCAACTGTACATTTAAGTCACCATTTACTTACTGTTAATAGCAGTTTAAACTCCTTGCTCAGTAATACTTGGGACCTGATCCAGCTGTGAATATCCATGGCCCAGAATATTGTGACTGTGTGCTAGCTGGAATGGAAGCCCCAAATAAATTTTAAAAATAATCCCAGCACCATGTCCGCAATTGTAAGCTCCCCAGAAGATGAAGAATTCATCTCACTGGTCTCACTATCACGGAGTCAAATTCCCCAAGCATATTTGTGAAGCTGGAGCAACTCTCTTGGCTAACAACAGATTAGGATGAAGGGAGGAAGGCATACATGTTTTTTCATCTGGCGTATGTAGGGTTTTTTAATTTAAACATACTCAGGAAGAGGGTTTCACAATGGCCCCTCCGGTTCCCCAGCTCCCACAGGATTGCCATACTTAGTTTGTTTTGTTTGTGGAGGTAGGCAGTACGCTGCCTGGGGATTAGCCTCTCTTTTGATCTTTGCCCGGTAACCTTCGGAATAGATCGTTTACCTGAGAAGGGTCCGATATTTTCATGGTTCAAACCTCATTGCATAAGTTCATATGGCCCCAGATCCGGGAAGTATGAAGCATAAGCTTAATTTTCCTCATTGACTTCCATTTGAGTTAATAAATGTAAAGTTTGAGGAGCACAAAATGCTGCTTTATTTTAAGGATAAATTTTCTGTTTTTATAGGTAACCCCTCCCGTCTCCCCCAGTAGCACTACAACAAAAAGGTACAGTGACACTCTTTTTCCCCCCCCCCCCCCGCTCCCCAAGAACGGCATAATTTTTTTTGTTATGTCTGACTCTCCTATGTTTTTTTGAATGTATTGATGATATTGCAAATACCAGATACAAGCACAAACTCTATTGCTAAATGGATTTTCTTTCACTTCGCTCACACTTTTCCCTCTTGGCTACTTCTCTTACCATTATCCTTATTATGCCTTTCTGCTGCTGGTGGCTAGCCAACCATCTCACACTCTTTACTGCTCTCTTCCCCACCTCTGGTTTCTGCTCCCTGCATTGCCATTATGAGTGCTGCTGCAGAAAACAAAGGTATCAGGAGGCAGTGAATGAGCTGTCCATTGCAGCAGTGACCAATAATGCCACCAATGCCAGTATAATGTGCCACTGGAACATTTCTTTAAAATCTGGTCTGTACCAACCACCTTCATCTGCACTGGTGACGTGCCCCTTTTCAGCCTCCAATGCAAAGCAAACATTTTCCCCAGGTCTCTGATGTAAGCCGAGTATTTAAAAAACAAGAGTTGTTAAAACATATTCTGTTTGCTGAAAAGGGTAATCTGTCTTCTGGGTTTTCTTAGTTTTAATAACAGTAGACTAATTCCAGTAAATATTTAATTCCTTTTTAGTATAAAATTTTGATTTTTGTTCTAACTGTGTGAACAGTTCCTTAAAGGCAACTCACTTCGTCTGAAAACTTTTTTACATGTTATTGTTACAAATAATACCTTAAATTACTATAACTGAGATTGGGAGGAGTTCTTTGTGCATTTGATGACTTGTTGTGTATAGTTTTGTTTTCCCACTTGTATGGCCATTTTCACCTGTTGTTTATGTTTGGGCTGTTCACTCAGAAAACAATGGAGAAAAAGATATCTGGGGGGGAAAATAGGAAAATATGACTAAAACTGTGGCAGCAGGACTGTTTCAGATACAATATCTGCCCCTTACCTTTTTTTTTTTTTTTTTTTTTAACCCAACTGGATTTCAAGTTGGCTGTGCCCCTCTTTTTTAATAAAGTATCTACTTTTTTCTCTCTCAAATATTCCATATTCTTGGTTTAGGATTGTTTCAGTAAATATACACACTGGAAAAACATTTTTGGAGCCACGTGGTTCCTTCTAATGTTTTTAGACAAACATTTTTCTCACAGCAATCTAGAACTGGCAACAATTTTGGATTTCAAGTCCCTCTTTTACATTGTTGTGTACAGTTTGATAGGAAGAGACATGCCAAGCAAAGTGTTACATTTGCCCTTTAGTTTACATTTGTGTTTTTCCCCCCTCCTTCAGGCAGATGGAATTGAACAGTTGTGAAAATGGCTCCATAAAGGCAGAAACTAATCATTGTGAGCAAACATTGTTTAACATTCTGATACCCTCACATCTGAAATCTAATGAGGGAGACTGTGACGTTTCAGCTGAAAACCATGTTGAAAAGAAGTTGACAGGTAAACGTATGGAAAGAAATCTTATCCTGTACTTTTGAGCACAAACAGTCTTATAAGAGTGTCGGAGAATAACAGAGTTCTCACTTTTTGTTTGGGTACAGCAAGTCAGATACTTTATTTTCTCAAGCAATTGCATAGAGGGAGAGAGCTAAACAGGTCTCTCAACAGGTAAACAATTACAGCAAGCATTTATACCTTTTGTTACAGACAATAATGAGCAACAGCTGCATTTTGTTTATACATAGGTCATTCTGATATCTTGTTTTGCTCACTAATGTAGACTCTGTCTACATTCCATATTATCTACACAAGGTCGCAACAACTTTTCACACAGTTCTTTCCCACTCGCCTCACACATTCCTCGCTTCTACAAATCTCGCGTTATTAGGGTTACAGTTAGCCTGACTCTTGCTAATGAACTGTCATACATTGCATCCCCTTCCTGTCAGTTCTTTCTCTGCTTCCACAAGAGTGTGAGATATCTCACTTCCCAAGAGAAGCTGTTGTATGTCAGCACTTGTTACAAGATTACTGACGTTTTACTTTGATCTCTGTCCATTTCCCAGGGGTTGTCTTCCCAACACAATTCACACCCTTGTTGGTGGCCTTGGTAGAGAGACCAAGAACTGAAGAGGTACAGGACTAAACTGCTCTCTCACACTAGAGCTCATCTGGGTCACAACTGACAGAAACTGGCAATGCACTCAGGCAACACTTGCACTGCACATGCTCTGTGGACCAGGGGCTTCATTCCCAAAGGCCCTCCATCGGCACCCTTTTCAAATACTAAAGGCCAGATTATCAAGAGTGCATATGGGAGCTGTGTGTGCTTGTTTCTGAGCAGCTGGTCTTCAGTTCACTCATACGTGCACTGACATATCCTTCAAAAAGAAAACAAAAAAACCCCAAACTCCTCCCCCTTAAATTAAGAGGTTATTTGTTTTAGGAAAATTCCGCCACTATTCAGACAGCATTGTATTAAAGTACCCATTACTCTAGCTGGCATCTCTCCTAAATAGGCAAAGTTAAAACATTTTATTTATATTTTGATTTGGCATTCTTTCAGAAATTGCCTGATACTTATGCTAATGTGGTTATATCAAAACAATTCAGTATACGATGGAATCAAGCCCTGAGACACTATGTTGGAGTGTTTGAGGTTTTATTATTATTATTTGTTGAGTAGACTAGGTCAGACTCAAACCACTTATGTTTCCCTTATTGTACATTATGCAGAACAGGCACTAGCAACCAGTGGTCTAGCAGAATTTGTGCACAAACATAAGAGGTATCAAGGTTCCTCTCAGCTTACCAAATTATGCTGTCTGTCACAAGTATTTAGCTCTCCCACTGGCTCTCCAGAATTTCCTTTGCCCTTGTTTTCCCCCGTTCAGTTTAGTTTGGTCTCGCATAGGCAGAAGAAATAGTTGAAAAATCAGAAATATAGTAATTGGAAAGGAAAACGGCTACGGGTTCCTATTGTGAAGATGTTGTGCAGCCTTGTTTGATGAGAGGTCTCCACTTCCCATGCTCTTCCCACCTGCTCTAAAACCAAGTCCACTTCCCCTTTTCCCTGGGTTTGGTTTTCATTTACTTAGAAATTAAGGGTAATACAATATACTTTCAGCCCAAACCTTTTCCCCAGTCTTGGCTGAACTTAGGGTTCCCTTGATCCTTTCTCCACCAAGCCACTCCCACAACCCTTTCTATCCGGGTAAGGTAACAGGACACATGTGAGTCAACATTTAATCCTTTTCCAGGAAGTTCAATACGGCTCTCACATAGGGTGTCTTAGGCAAACACTGCCATCCTTTTGCACATTTTTAGTCTTAGTTGCATTTTTTTCCCTTCAATGGACAAAGGAAAAAGAAGAATAAAGTAAAAGATGTGATGACATTTCACAAAGTGACGTCTCTTCCATGGAGCTGGGGCTGTTCCAATTTGAGTAGCGAGAGTGGCCAGTATTGTGTAGTCCTGCTAGTGCCTGTAGAAAAGTGTGCATGCAAAGATCAATAGAGCCATTCATTCTGAATACCTTAAAAGACACCATTAAATTAATAAGGTGGATAACAAGAGAAGAACTAGTCAAAGAATCTCATTCAAATTAGATAATTGGTATCATTCAGCAACTGAGGTTTCCTTTCTTTTTAAATGTAAGGTGATGAAGTTAAAGACGATGGAGGAAGCAAGATGCTGCCCATAGAGGGCAACAGTGCTAACGAATCGCTGCAGTTGGCAATGGATTCCATAAGTGGACCAGCTCCATCACACTGGGGAGAAGGAAAAGAAGAGGATTTACCTACCTTCTTCAGTGTCATGAACAATAGGTAGCATAGCTCCTGCATGCAGTAGATGAACAGTTGCTGGTATATTGAGACTGTATGGTTAAAACCCTTAATCAACTGAGCATTTGATCCATGCAATGGCGAATTCACTTCAATAAATCCCAACAGAGATAATTTTGTAAATTGTACTGTTTGTAGTAAAGCTATAATAGGTTTTGTAGTGCTGAGAGTTGGAACAAGGGAGTCTAATAGTTGAGTACTATGGTAAAAGGTCCATCACTTAAATACTACTTTTTGTGATTTTTATCCTCCCCCCTCCCTAACTTACACCCACCATCCATGGGGTGATTACTTTGCGAGAGTAACTGGCAGCAATAATTGTTGAACTTCTGAAAATTTGATCGTTGGTCAATTAATCACAAGCTGGAAAATTACTCTATTTAAAGTAACTAACTATCTCTGCTAACTTGACTGTGGTCTCTAGGTTGAGAATTATTTTTCCTTGGTGTGATTAAGAGCCTGTTTCTGTACTGTCGAAATCACTGGGCTACATTCACCAATAGCAAAAGCTGGTACAGTGAAACTGATGTAAAAAGGATCTGGTTATGCTAGTGGCTCAGTGCATGTCTAGTTTGCCTTATTCAAATGAAGCGGGTGTGTAATACAGTTTCTCCATTGAAACTGTACAAAAGAGGCAGTAGTGTAAAATAGAATTCTCTAATGCTTAAGAGATGTAGGAACAGGCTGAAACAATGATAATCAGTTCCCCACCCCCAAATTCAGAATCTGAGATCAGGGCCCCATTGCACTGGGCACGGTACCTGCATTTGGTGAGAAGAGCTTACAGTCAAAATAGCCAAGACACACATTTTCTCCATTTCACAGGTGGGGAACTGAGGAGCAAAAGCACATGTGACTAAGATCACATGGGAAATTTGGGTTCAATCTCTGGCATGGTACCGGTCTCTTTGAGTTCCGGTCCAGTGCGTTAACCATAAGCTCATCCTTCTGTCCTCACCAAACAGGCATAATGTAAAATTTGCCTTTGTCAGTAAATGCGTCTGAATCAAAGATCTGATTCCAGCTTTTATACTTGTTTGTGAGCAAGCAAACGAGGCGTATCTTGTCTTTGTATATAAAACTCGTGATTTCCATTCAAACATTCGTGTCCCTTACAGAACAAAACTCAGTATGTAGTTCTTGTGAAATATTGATTGCAGTGTGACCACCTTCCAAAAAAGCAAACCCTTCTTCCATTGTTTGTGGGTAAAGTATGACAGGAGTATTTAACGTTTTTTTTGTGTTTATACTGGAATCTCCAGGTTTAGTGACATTGAACTCCAGGAGGGTGACGGCATACCCACAGAGGAATTTCTGCAATCGTGTTACGCGATAGTGCCAGTTTTGGGTAAGTGGTTACTTACTTTCACTACAGTCAGTGTCTCTAGCAGCTATGCCATGAATCCTTTTTGATTGCTGCCTAATAAGAGAAATGGCTGAGGTGTGGCTCAGGCTCATTAAGATCATTCAGTTCTTTAATCCTATTTGAGGATAAGGATACTGACTTCCTTTATAAAGTGCTTTAAGATCTATGGATAAAACTTGCTATAAGAGCTAGGTCCTATTATTTTGGTGTCTTTGGCTCGTGTACAGAGTGGAGTTTTTGGCCCTGTAACAGAAGGAAGAAAAAGACATCTTTCTGTTTCTCCTTTTAACTATTCAGAAAAGCTTTTTGGTAGTAGGTGAAATAGATATTTCTGAGTCATGAGTACTAAGAAACTGCTTTAAAAATGTTGCCTTCTTTCTTCTAGACAAACTTGGACCAACAGTCTTTGCTCCTGTTAAAATGGATTTTGTAGGTAATATCAAGGTAATAGCCATTTCTAGCACTGACTTTTCAACAAAACAAAACTTAAGATATTCTACCTAAGACTAAACAGATGCTGAAACACTCAAACAAATAGTGTATAAATGTAGATACCTGTTTCCTTAAGTCAGGGTGCACAACCAAACTGATATCTAATGATATGAACAATAATCCTATACTCAATCTATTGAATATTTTAAAATCATAGAAATTAGATAGGCCTTTTCTTTAGCAAGTCCACTATTCCACACTCCAGACAATGCAGGATTGGCCCCCAGTATATGTACTTAATAAATAATAATAATTGCAATTTCTCCTTTTGTGATTTTAAATGATTCAAGGGGTGGGCTGCTATCACTTCTGTTGGAAAACTATTCAGCATTCTTATAGATCTCACCATTAGAATAGGGTTTTCCCCTGATAATTCAACGTAACTTTTTTACATTGCTTAGTTTCACCCCATTATTCCAAGTAATACATTCTTGTGCTACTCTAAAGAACTCCTTTCCCTCCTTGCCTCTTCCATCTTTTGGATGCAATAGGTGGCTTGTTCCATCTTTAATACCTGAGAGTTTAAAGATGTGTTTAAAACCATGAGGTAGGCAGAAATTGAGTTTACAATCTACTGATCTCTAGTACCCACACGGTATCCATTACCCAGCTGGCTTGCTGTTACAGTTATGACTGTATGTAGAAACACAGAGTGACATAGGATCTAATGCAATACAGTAACCCTTACAAAGGAAGTGTGTGGTGTGTTTGGAGCAGGTGGAGGTAGGTCAGGCATATGGAATATACAGGGGTGGGATTGGTATCTGGAGGTTTTGTAATATTTGCATAACGCTCCTATTGGTCAGATCAAAATGCAGAAAGGGACGTTACACTGTGCACTGTAAGTGCAGAATATTTTTTCAACACAGTCCAACTTTTGTGTGTAACCAGATTTTTTTTAAACTCCGTTTGAGTGATGGCCTGGTATAAACCATTCAGCATGCTAGATTATAGTGGTTAATGAATATGATTTAAATTGCTGTTTAGATTCTGTACTGATAGTGTTTTAAGTGAAGGCCTCACTAGCCACATCCGCTTTGTTAATGCTGTAAGCTGAAAAGAAACATTAGATTTCCTTCCTCAAGCAGAAGCCAGAGAGTACTTTGTGAGACCAGGTCCTCAGCTGATATAAATCAGCGTAGCTCCTTTGAAATCAATGCTGTTTTACACCAGCTGACGAGCTGCCTCTGAATCTGAACATTTACTTTTGGCTCCAAGCTTGAAAAGGTTTCGTGTGCTACTCGCAAGATGAAGTAAAAGAATATTTATCACTTAAAAGAAAACATTAAACACCTAATGGGGAACATAACTTATTTCAGGCTTCAAAGAAATACTTTTTAAAAATGGAAAATAAATAGCTTTCTCGCTTACCCAATGTGCCTGCTTCTCTTCTACCACAGCACGAGGTGCTGCTGTAGCTACTAGCATTGAGCAAGTGCATAAAAAACATACAATTTAACAGAAAAGAATGCTGTAGAAACCAAAAAGGACTGGGAAAGATAGTACTGAGAGTGGAAAGGCAACATATATCGCCAATATATACAAGAAGAGCCTGTTAAGACAGTCTTATTGCGTTGGCTTGTGTTTTTTACAAGGGTGGGTTATATGAAACAAGCTACATTTATAAAAAAAATAAAACAAACATTCTGAGTCTCGTATAGAATCTGGTGCTCCAGCTGCCACTGTAGTAATACCTTAACCATGTTTTTCTTTTCCCTGAAGTGCTCAGAGCATGAACTTCCCTCTCTGAAAGTTGAGGTATTCATTTTTCCCGGGGAGAATGGACAGGACTCTCTTCAGGGCCCGTCACTCCACTCCAGATTTAAAATGTCAGGGGGCTGTTGAACAAAGCAAGGCACTTTCCCCCTCAGATTTGGAGTCTACTACTCCATGTACGCTGCAAGGAATTAATCTGGGAACCGGAATTCCTTTTGTGTGTGAGAGGCCTGGTAAATAGCCCTTGTGAGCCAGAATGTTTTTGTTATTTAAAATGGAACCATGTAAAAGTATAAACTGTTGCCTTCTCTTCAGAAAATAAATCAGAAATATATAACCAACAGAGAAGAGTTCAACACTCTCCAGAAGATAGTGCTCCATGAAGTGAGTGCTGAGGTAGCACACGTTAGAAACTCTGCAACAGAGGCCCTTTTGTGGCTAAAAAGGTAACTGCCAAGTGTCAAATCTTCAGTTTAATTGTAGGTGTTAGGATGTTACCCAGATCCCTTCACCGATGTAGATCAGTCTCAGGAAGCAATTCTTGCTAGTTTCTTTGCACACTGGAGTAGTCCAAACACACTGCGTTCAAATTTAACATCCCAGTTATAGTCCCAGTATTTGGCATACCAATCACAAGGTCTAAATACCCACTTTTTCCTAGAGAAATAACTGAATAGTCTTGTTGGGTAACTATTCCTGCCACGCCTCTGAGTCATCCAGAGGACTTAGGCCTGGTCTACACTAGGCTTTTATGTCGAATTTAGCGCCGTTATATCGAATTAACCCTGCACCCGTCCACACCAGGAAGCCATTTAGTTCGACATAGAGCTCTCTTTAAATCGATTTCTGTAATCCTCCCCAACGAGAGGAGTAGCGCTAAATTCGACATGGCCATGTCGAATTAGGCTAGGTGTGGATGGAAATCGACGCTAATAGCTCCGGGAGCTATCCCACAGTGCACCACTCTGTTGACGCTCTGGACAGCAGTCCGAGCTCGGATGCTCTGACCAGCCACTCCCCCGGGAAAATTTGAATTCCTTTTCCTGTCTGGGCAGTTTGAAGCGCAGTTTCTGTTTGGACACCGTGGTGAGCTCAGCAGCAGTGGCAACGATGCAGAGCTCTCCAGCAGAGATGGCCGTGCAATCCAATAGAAAGAGGGCCCCAGCATGGACGGATCGGGAAGTCTTGGATCTCATCGCAGTGTGGGGCGATGAGTCCGTGCTTTCAGAGCTGCGCTCCAAAAGACGGAATGCAAAGATCTATGAGAAGATCTCTAAAGCCATGGCAGAGAGAGGCTACAGCCGGGATGCAACGCAGTGCCGCGTGAAAATCAAGGAGCTGAGACAAGGCTACCAGAAGACCAAAGAGGCAAACGGACGCTCTGGATCCCAGCCCCACACATCCCGTTTCTACGAGGCACTGCATTCCATCCTAGGTGCGGCCGCCACCACTACCCCACCAGTGACCGTGGACTCTGAGGATGGGATATTGTCCGCGACCGGTTCCTCAGCGGACGGGGAAGAGGAGGAAGGAGATGAGGAGGACGAGGCAGTAGACAGCGCTTACAACGCTGATTTGCCCGACAGCCAGGAGCTCTTCATCACCCTGACAGAGATCCCCTACCAACCCTCCCCAGCCGTTACCCCAGACACAGATTCAGGGGAAGGATCAAGCTGTAAGTGTTTTAAATATCTAAATATTTATTTACAACATAACTGGCGTATTTAAAATATTAACATTAGCTAAAGTGCTTTAAAACATGTAAACATTTATTTGCAACAAAACAGGAAGATTGAAAATATGAACAGTGGGTAAAGTGCTTCAAAACATGTAAACAGGAAAGTCAAACAAAAGGGGAATCAGTGCAAAGTGTATCATGATTTGTCTTTTTTTGGGCGCCTCAATATATAGTCCGAACCATTTTCAAAAAATTGCACAATGTCCGCTTCATGATTATAGTGCCCAAAACCCTGCAGTCATTTGTCCCTCCAAGGGCACCTAAGCCAGGAACTGGTCAATGTAACCGGGGATAGAGGCGAGATCCTCCGGGGAGAACTCCTCATACACCTCCTGCAGGTGTTTTTCCAGCCTCATCAGCAGGTTCCTGGGCAGGGAGAGCTTATTAGGCCCCCCGTGGTAGGACACGTTTCCCTGCCACAACGCCAGCAGGTACTCCGGGATCATGGCCTTGCACAGCAGTGCAGCAAATGGCCCCGGTTTCTGCAGGCTGTCCCGTAGCATCTTCTCCTTCTGGCTCTCGGAGACCTTCAGGAGGGTGATGTCAGGCATGACTCCCTGCTGTGAATTAGGTAGGGGAAAGTTAGTATTGGGACTGCTTGCTCGTCCCTTTACAGAACTGCAACCGCCGGTTTACAGCCACGCGGTTTACAGCCGCGAGGGGGTGGGACAGGGCCAGAGTTCATGCTTGCAGGATTGCTGCCAGCAGAGACTCGCATTGCTTTCTATGTGAAAGGAGGCCAGTGCCACTCTTAAAGTTTTAAGCGGCCACAAGTCTACGGCTTACCATGTTTGCCATCTAGACAAAGTCCGGTGTCCTGCCCTGCTCCTCAGCTCGCCACAGCAAGACCGCAGGCACTGTAGGCGAGGGCCGAAATTCGACCTTGTCCTCAGTGCGCGTGTGATAGGTGCTCTGCATGGTCTTGTTCACGGAGCAAGACTATGTTCTCTGTTCACAGATACATTGCTCTGTCTCAGGAATCCACTCCCTTTTTCCAATTCCCACAGCCACATCTGCCCAGAGGCTAGCGCACATTAGGAGGAGGAAGAAGAGGACACGGGAAGACATGTTTGCTGAACTAATGGAATGCTCCCGAGCACAGGCAGCCCAGCAGACACAGTGGAGGGAGAACTTGTCCCAAATGCACCGGGCAAACATGGAACGGGAGGAGAGGTGGCGACAGGAGGACAGGCAGGCTACTCAAACGCTGCTTGGACTAATGAGGGAGCAAACGGACACGCTCCGCCGCCTTGTGGATGTTCTGCAGGACCGGAGGCAGGAGGAGAGAGCCCCGCTGCAGTCTCTCTGTAACTGCCCTGCCCCGCCACCAAGTCCCATACCCCCCTCACCCAAAGTCCAAACACGGAGGGGTGGAAGGGGCCGTGAAAAATTTCACTCCACCCCTGCGGACTGCTCTACCACTAGAAGGCTCTCATTCCCCAAAATTTGAAAAGTCCTTTCCTACCCGCCTCACACAAGACCCCGTCCAAGTTTCACCCCCCCGTTCCATGTGCGGTTGTTAATAAAGAATACGTTTCTGTTCATTTCTGTTTCCATCCTCTTCTTTTGGAGGGGAGTCTGTCTGAAGGGGGGGGAAGGGGCTTGGTCATTGGACAGGACAGTCACCTTTAGCAGGGGGCAGGTGCAGCAGCAGGGCACATATACAGTGCAGTGACTAGTTATCCTAGTTAGTCTGGGAGGTGGTTTTCATGTTTTGTGTGGTGGGGGCGGTGGTGTTGCTCTCTGACTTGGTGGCGGGGGAGGGCAGTTACAGATCTTATGCAGCGGTCCTTACCCTGCATCACAGAGCCGCGCAGCAGGGGATCTGTAACCCTCCTCCCCCTGCAAGACAGTCACATAGCCGACATATACACGCAGTCCCGGCCAGGAGGGCTGGCAGGCTCCGTTGAAACAACCAGTCCACCACCGCGGAGCCTGTCATTCCTGGAGTTTAGAAGCATCATTTGCATCACAACCCTAAACCCGCCCCCCGCCACAGTCTGCGTCCCAGGTTTAAAACATTCCCGCGAAAACAGTAATAAAGACAACGGTGTCCATGAACAAAACAGAACAGATTTTATTTTTTGGGAAGGGGGCGAAGGGGGTATGTAAGTGGAGAGGATAGTCGACGGCAACTGGGTAAAGAAACGGGGGCAAGTTCTGCCTCTGTGTCCACAAACTTAAAAGTCACTGGGTACCCTGCTCAGCCTTGAAACTGGCTTTCAAAGCCTCCCGGATGCACAGCGCGTCCCGCTGGGCTCTTCTAATCGCCCGGCTGTCTGGCTGGGCGTAATCAGCAGCCAGGCTATTTGCCTCAACCTCCCACCCCGCCATAAAGGTCTCCCCCTTGCTCTCACACAGATTGTGGAGCACACAGCAAGCTGCAATAACGATGGGGATATTGGTTTCGCTGAGATCACAGCGAGTGAGTAAGCTTCTCCATCTCCCTTTGAGACGGCCAAAAGCACACTCCACCACCATTCTGCACTTGCTCAGCCGGTAGTTGAAGAGTTCTTTTTCTGTGTCCAGGGCGCCAGTATAGGGCTTCATGAGCCAGGGCATTAGCGGGTAGGCTGGGTCCCCGAGGATCACTGTAGGCATCTCCACATCCCCAACAGTTATCTTGTGGTCCGGGAAGTAAATACCTTCCTGCAGCCGTCTAAACAGACCAGAGTTCCTGAACACGCGAGCGTCATGAACCTTGCCCGGCCATCCGACGTAGATGTTTGTAAACCGTCCCCGATGGTCCACCAGTGCTTGCAGCACCATTGAAAAGTAGCCCTTTCTATTGATGTACTGGCTGGCCTGGTGGCCCGGTCCCAGGATAGGGATGTGAGTCCCATCTATAGCCCCACCGCAGTTTGGGAATCCCATCGCGGCGAAGCCATCTATGATGGCCTGCGCGTTTCCCAGAGTCACTACCTTTGACAGCAGTACCTTGACGATTGCCTTGGCTACTTGCATGACAACAACCCCCACGGTAGATTTGCCCACGCCAAAGTGGTTCGCGACTGACCGGTAGCTGTCCGGCGTTGCAAGCTTCCAGAGGGCTATGGCCACTCGCTTCTGGACAGTCAGGGCTGCTCGCATGCGGGTGTCCTTGCGCTTCAGGGCAGGGGACAGCAAGTCACAAAGTTCCAGGAAAGTCCCCTTCCGCATGCGAAAGTTTCGCAGCCACTGGGATTCATCCCAGACCTGAAGCACTATGCGGTCCCACCAGTCCGTGCTTGTTTCCCGGGCCCAGAATCGCCGTTCAACAAAATCCACATGCCCCATTGCCACCGTGATGTCCTGGGCGCTGGGGCTCGTGGTTTCTGACAGCTCTGTGCTACTCTCCGACTTCAGGCCCTCACGGCGGTGCCGTAGCCTCCTCGCCTGATTTCTCTGCATCTGCCTGTGGGAAAGGTGTATGATAAGGTGCGAGGCGTTGAGAACGGCCACAACTGCAGCGATGGTCGCAGCGGGATCCATGATCGCAGTGCTGTGGCGTCCGCGCTGTCACTGATCAAAAAGTGCGCGAACTGATTTCCCGCCGGCGCTTTCAGGAAGGGAGGCAGGGCGGTAGTGACTGACGGATGACGACAGTTACCCAAAAGCACCCTCGCCACATTTTTTTACCCAGAAGGCATTGGGGGCTCGACCCAGAATTCCAATGGGCAGCGGGGACTGCGGGAACTGTGGGATAGCTGCCCACAGTGCACTGCTTCCAATGTCGACGCTTTCCCTGGTAGTGTGGACTGACAAAGTCGAATTACTGTCCTTAGTGTAGACACACACGTTCGACTTTCTAATATCGATTGCACATATTCGATTTAACTAAAATCGAACTACTCTCGTAGTGTAGACATACCCTTAGACTACAGCACATAAACTCTGACTTGGAGCACAGCCTGTCTGGGGGGTTGGGGAGTGGTGACTGAAAGGGATTAGTAATGGATCCATCTCTTTACCCAGACGAAGAAAATGTCTAGTCAATATTGTGTTTGCTGTTACAAGTGAATAGGCCAAGAGACTTCACATGTGTTTTCTCCAGGCATTTCCACCTAGGCAATGAGACAGGGACTCTGCTCACAGTGAGCAGCCTTTAGTAATGTCCCATTTTGGCCAAAATGGTTTAAAGTGTTATGTGAAACCAATGATTTTTTGTATGCCTACGTAGTGATGTTACACACCCTTCTATTTCACTAAGCAATTTTTGTGGGGGCTGTCTGGTGATAAATATTTTGCCCTTTTTTTTTTTTTTTTTGGTTTCTTCCTGACAGAGGCTTAAAGTTTTTGAAGGGATTTTTGACAGAAGTTAAGAATGGAGAAAAGAATATTCAAACAGCTCTGAGTAAGTGCCAATTGCTTTATTGTTCTTACTTTTTTATTTATATAATTGAGCTTTTTCTCCATTGGGTGGTCTTCTCTTATTAATTTTAAAATTAGTATTCCCTGTAGCTCACCTTTAAGAAATACCTTCTCTGAAAACTGGAATCTTGAGCCAAAAACCCTATTTACAGATAACTGTGTACGAGGCGAGTCTTTATTTGATGGGATTCCCCTCCCCCCCCCCAAACTGTATGTTTACATGTAGTTACATTTGGGGTTGTTTCCCCCCCTCATTTTATCTTAAAGCAAGTTAAAACTTGTTAAGAAACTTTATGCTTATATAGGGCTTTTCTTTACTGAGCCTCTTGGCATCCCTGTGAGGTAGGCACAGTAACTGCTGTATCTGTTGTTTACATGGGAAAGCACAGTGCTTAAGATGTTAAACAGCTGGCTGTGGGAGCTGCTGAAAGTGCACAGAGCTGAAATGACAGTACTAGGCACGTAGTGTTTGCTCAGCCCCTGTGCAGAGGGTCTTCCCCATAGTATGGTGCAGTTGGCACAGTGCTCAGCAGCTTGCACTGAACGGAGTACTAGAGAGGAGAACCGTGGGGGTGAGGCATGGGCAAAGCTAGGGCTAATCAGATAACAAAAATTGCACTTGCAAATAAATTGGTCTCCATTGACAGAGGATTTATTGGGTAACTTATTTGCCAAATTCTATTTGCCCATCTGTAGAAATGGTCGGATAATGAAGAAACGTACCGGTGAATAACTTCCTTCATTTGCAGAAAATTGTTAAAGCACTTTTCATGAAATAATGTCCAGCAAGTAATCCAAGCAGCTGTATCCAGGGTGGAGAATTCTCCCATGCCCTCCAGTGAGTGCAGAGAATGTGTGGGGCAGCCAGTATTAGGCCTTCTGGTTACTGTTACTACCAGCCACAGGAATAGTGGCTAACTCGCATGGGCTTAATTGAGAGCAGGGGCAGATCTGAGCACTGGCTGTTTACACTGAAATGCTGTGTGGAGTTGTAAGAAAAAATCCTCTCTCACAGCCGGGTGGAAGTGAGCTGGAAGAAAATTTAAAAATACAGTTGGGAACTTTATTTTTTCTTTTTCTTTCTTTTAAGACAACGCTTACGGCAAGACATTACGGCAGCATCATGGCTGGGTTGTGCGAGGGGTTTTTGCGGTAAGTGGCTAACATCTTAATTGCTGACTCAGCTAGTCGGAATCTTGGCTGCATTCACCTGTACAGTCTTATGCTATGGTCGATACCTGATAAAATGTACTGAAATGTAAGTACCGAAAGAATTAACGAGATGTTCAGTTTGTCAGATCTCTGCCTCAGAGGCAAGGGTTAGGGCTATCATTTCATGTTTAATGTTTGATTTTTACGGAGAAATCTATTTTTCTTTTAGTTAAGAATTTTTGTCTATTTTAGGTTTAGTCTGGAAATGTCTCTTGCCACACATCGTATAGGGTCTTTTCTAGGAAAATAAAAATAAAGTCAGAATATTTTAGTGTGTGTCATTAACGATATCTTTTCCTAATATTTTTAAATGAATTTCTGGAAGTAGGTTCTGTTTCCTCAAGATGTTCTTACCTCCAGTGCATGAAACATTAGAGTAGAGTTGGAGGGAAGATTGAAACTTAATAGTTGTGAAAACAAGACCCACTTTACTCAAATAGAGTAACCAAAGAAACAGGTTGTCCTACCGCACAGCTAGCAGCGCCCCCTGGTGTCTGTTGTTATAAATTGTATTGGCGAGACTATGTAAAGTCCCAGCCAGATGTAAATACAATGCTTTTCATGATTGAAGGCGAAGCAGCAAGATTTGGGGTAAAATTATTTTAAAAAAAAGTATGGGACTTAGACTTCCAAGTTTCTGAGTTCTTGAAAATTAGACATAGGCTCCTTTTGAAAATGTACCCGTGTTGGTTATTTTAATGTTTTTAAAGTCTAAATAAAAATAATAATAAAAAATCACCACTTGTAGTCACAAAATATGCTGTATAGGCACTTCCTAAAAATCAGGCCTCTGTAAAGTGTCTCATAATGGGGATGCAAAAGTTGAAGCATCAAAAGTCACTTTCCAAGTTTGAGTTTTTAAACTTCTATTCCTCTCCCAGTTAGCTTTAAGGGCAGCACCAACATATGAAGACTTTGTGGCAGCACTGTCTGTGAAGAAGTGTGATGATCAGGAAGAAGCTTTTTATAATGCAATGCAGAGAGACCTCAACATTTACTTGCCAGCCATGGAAAACCAGCTGAATATCTTGGACACTCTCTATGAAGTACATGGTTTGGAGTCGGATGAGGTAGTATAATCACAGTGACACAGTACCTCAAAACTTCAGGCACTGCATTTGTTAACGAGCTTTTCTGAATGCCGTTTCTCTTCATTGTATCTTTAGCATGGGAGTTGGAGGAATCGGTGTGCGTGTGTATTTTTAATCCTTGTTTGTGTTTAAATGAAGAGGTGCTGTTTCTTTGAAGGCCGCAACTGTCTGCATGGTGAATACCTTTGGGCTAAATAATTCTTTTTTTTACATGAATGTAACAGAGCAGAATTAGGCCTTCTTGCTCCAGTGCATACTACTGGCATCACACGTGCGGAGGGGCAGCTTTGATGGGAGCACAGATGCTGTGCTGATGTCGTCATTTTGCCCTCACCCTGTTCTGTGCCTGTCCAAGCTGTGATGCTAGTCTCCATTTCACTGGTCTTCTCTCCATCTGGGCAGCTCTAGCCCTGCCCCTCTGCTAGAGAGAGCTGTGCTGCACTGATAGCAGAAGAGGGGGCAGTAGAACTCTACCTTATTAACTGAGTGGTTAGTCTGGTCCCATCTTGAGGTAAATTTGGGTTGCATCCTTGTGTTTTATACTGGTGACTTGATTTTACTCGCAGCCCTGTTTTAAAAAAATGTAAAGGCTGTTACTGCAAGTGTTGCTTTGATGGCCAGGGTCCCTGGGCCTCCCCTAAGAGTCAGCCCGTCACACTAGGCATGCTCTCCCTGTGCTTTTCTAGGTACTCTCTACCTCCTCACAGGTCCATGAAAACAGGATTGTCTCTTCCAGTGCTACTAGGCACCTGCTCCTGGAGCTGTTCTACCAAGAAGCTCCTCCTGCCTCATCCTGTGAGGGAGTGTGTGTGTGTTTGTGTGCAAGAGAGAGAGACAGAAAAATAATCCTTAAATTCACTGTGACACCAGCCTTGTTGCTAATGTCCCAGCAGGGGGAGGCCTCTACATGGCAGAGGGAGAGAAGGTTGTCAAGATGCATCACCTTGATCTTGGTACTAGTATCTTGAGTGCTTCCTTTGCCCTTGTGTGGTTAACAAGGCTTTAGTGCTAAGTGCTGGAGCCATTGGGCCAGATCCTCAACTGATGTAAATTGGCAAAGCCCCATTGGTTCCACTGGAGCTGCGCCCATCTACAGTAGCTGAAGATCTGTCCTGTTGTATTTACCCTGGTAATAGACAGAATACACTTTTCAAAAGCACCTAAGTATCATTGAAAGTCAATGGGACATAGACATGTAAGTGTCTAAGTCACATAGTTGCTTTTGAAAAGTTTGCCTATAGCCTTCTTTTTAAAGGGCCTATTCAAAACCAAATCCCATAACTGCTGCTGGGTATTTGTGTGGTTTAAACACAACCAACAATCTAACAAATTATATAAAAATGCTTCTAGATTAGCATTTGGAGGGGGTGTGGGTGTTGGTTTTGTTTTTTGCCAATGGGGGTTACAAAAGGCTGGGTTTGAAATGAGTCAGTCCTAGGGGGGGAATATAGTTCTTCATAAAACCATCACACATTAGTGCAGCTCTAAGTATATAATCCAAAAGTGTCTAGGTTTGACAGCGAATTAAGGATAATGGGGATTTTTGCCATGCTTTCCTCCCACTGACACGAGTAAAAGTCCACTGGTACTGTTGGAGTCAAGAATTAATAGCTTTCCCTGTAGTTAGTCAGATGATTAAAAGGTGAAATTTGACCTCGTGTAGAGGGCCAGCACAAAGTATTTGGACTATTTAGTCCCACTTCAGGGTTTAAGTAGATCTTTAGTGCATAGGACTTTTGCTGGCCTTCTGCATGGGGTGAATTTCACATTGTACATTAGAGAGAAGGAAGGAACACTTCAGAATGAAGGCCTTGGGAAAGTGGTGAGCCATTATAAATAGAGTAGAAAACAACTCTTCAGAGGCATTTTGAAATTTTTGTTGCCATCTCGCAGGAGAAATGCTTTTGCTTAGATCCAGCAAATCAAGGATACCAAGAGGATTCTAGTGATGTGCAATGCACCCTGTGCCTGGATTCCTATAGAACAGGTTGTTTAAGCTTAATTCCATGGTTGAAGCACAGCTATATACTTAGCACTCAAACCGTTCTATCCAGAGGACACTAAAATTTTTGAAGAAAGCACAAAACAGCTATAGGAAAAGACCAAAAACTTTAAATTTGGTGCCTGAGGGAGACACCAAAAGCAATAGATAAATAGTAATTGGCTTGATTTTTTTTTTTTTTTTTTTTTTTTTTTTTCAGAGCTGTGGGTGCTGAGCCCTTTTGAAAATTGAGGCATTTTCTATTGGTGCTTACATATAGAATTGAATATTTTTTGGCCAGAGTTTGCTTCAGTTATCCCACTACCTGCAGTACTAAGAATGAAGCCAGGTACCCTTGGGATTTACACATGTAATTCTCTTTAGCATAAATGCTGAGTAATCCACACAAATGTCAGTAGAACAACTCCAGACCCTGTCCCCCAGTGAGTGGGTTCTTCAGGGTGACAGCTAAGGTTCTTCACTGTGGGGAAGTTGGCTTCGTAGCTCTCCTCAGGATGCTCTGGGAAGATAGTGATTGCACAAGTAGCGACTACATTTTCACACCCACAGTGGAGGAAAGGACTGAGAGACCCTCTTATAAAGTAAATTTTAAAAGAAACATTGTGAAGTTAGAATGAATAAAAAGTGGAATTTTCTTTTGCTCCAAGCTTCTCTCATAGTGGGAGACGGTTCCCAGCATTCACATTTTTACCAGTGGGAAAATCCAAACTCACTGGTGCAAAGAGGGGAAGGATCTTAATTTCTAAAGTAGAACACCGTTAGCGACCTCATTTGAATTTTTTAACTTCAGAACTGACATTTTCCACCAATCTTACTGCTTCTGATAGTCAGACAGACCAATTACTGGCTTTGCATAGGTGGGGCACACTCCTCTTCAGAAGAGTTTCCTTGTCTCCATTCTTCCTTGCAGAACTGGCTCTTTTACTTGCAATTGGCTGGTCAGGGGCTTTCTAGGGAAACAGTGACAAAACTGAATAACTATTCAATATACCAGATTGCCAGCCATGGCCCAATATGTAGTCACTTGTTCTTTATAATTACTAAATCAAAGGAATCTTATTCTCTATTTTTCTGACTAACACCACTGATAATTTTAAAGTTTAAAGACAAAAACATGTTGTTGTTGTTTTCCCCCGAGTGGGTTGACACTTTTTAGTTTTAAAGAATTTGTGTTTGCCTCACAGCCAAGCAACAAGCATGCATCTTGGAACTGATCTGACAGCTACAAGATTAAAATGTGGTTTTACTCCCACATGCTGATACTGTTATAGCCCTGTTTTGCATACCTTACATGAACGGCATTGATTTGTTAACCTTTATCAGTATGAAGTTTTACATCTGTTTCCTTTAGAAATGCTTTCAGCTATTTCCTTTGTCTGACAGTTGCATACTCTCAGGGATTCTACATAGCCATGGCAAAAATATAGTAGGCTTACAATACAAGGCTGCTTTTTGTGTGAAGTTGGTATAGTTCAGTTCAGAACTCCAGCAAAAAGTATGACACTAGCACAGACTATCCAATGCACACGTTTGCTAAAACGTGATACATCCCAAGGCAATCTGATACTAATACTATAGAGAACAATAGCTGTCAGCATATTTTAATAAAGGTCATATCTCTTTGTAATACTGTGTCACTGACATTAGAGCAGAGCTCCCTAATAATTCAAATAGAGAGTTCTGCTTAGAAGTGGATGAGCTTTTATTTGATTTGATTTTGCTATTTTTAAAACAAATGTACTCTAGCATCCTTTTCAATACTTTAACACACCATAATCAACAGTTGCACGTGGCTGCTCCCTAGCATCAAGGCACCATGGGTATGTTCTGGTGAACTATTAATACTCAAGTGTTTAGAGATATAGATAAATGGATCACTGAAACATACCCAGGCGTCTCATCTTGATGTTATAGTATGGCCCTTAACTTTTAAAAGCAAAATTTTAAATTTGAAGTTAATTTTAAACAAGTGTTTGGTATTTTAAGGGCCATATGCTTTCACTCTTAGTAAAAGTAATTTATAGTATATCAATAGTTTGGGCTAAAGTACAGTCACTGTTTACATTACATTGCACATATTTCATGGTTTAAGAATTGTCAAACTTTTTTTTGTAGTTACGAGATTTTATGTATTTAAATATGCTGCAGTATTCTCCAGAACGGGTCTAACGCTGTAGCTTATGCCTACGTCGATACTGCACTTCCCGGGTGTGTGGCCATTATAGAATACTTTTTTTTAAAATAAGGGTTCCACTCATTCAGTGGACTTCCTCCCCTCATTTGTGCTCCGAACTTCTGTTTGGTTTTTGCAATAGGTGGTTAAAAGAACCCCGGGTTCCCTTGAGGCACTGTTACGAGCAATAGCCAAGCCCTTGCAGGGCTAAAAACTCCCATTCACCCGACCTCTCCATCTCATGCCTGCTTTGCAGCCAGCTATGCTGCTTTCAGGCTACAGTGTCTCCTGTGCAAAGCTAAAATGGGGAGTTTGAAACAGCCACAGTGCCAGTGTATTAAAGTGATTAAAAACAGAGACTTTGAAGATGGGCCCAAGCTCAGAGCTGAACAGCCAAGCGAAAGGGGGCTCGTGAAGAATGCGCTGCCCTTCTTTAAAGTGTCTCTCCCTGGTACTGCAGTGCTTTGCTAATCACATTAAAACTCTGGGAAGTTTTAATTTGACCTTTGAAATCTAAATTTCAAAGTAGTGACAGTTTCTAGCTCTTATTGGCGAAAGCACAGTTTCAAAGATGGACTCATTTCTCTCTGCTTGCCTGCAAAGTGCTGATAAGAAGGCAAGGTGAGAGAGAAGGGACAGCTGAATCCAGGGCCCCACTACCCTGAAAAAACTAAAGGCTTTAGGCTTCCACATGGTCTCCAAGTGTATAAAAATCATTTGTGTAGCAGGGTAGCGTTGTGGGAGGGGACGGATTCCTAGCACACAAGTGAGACTATCCCATGATAAGTCTGGACCAACCTATGGTTCATGTGGGGGTTTAAACAGTGCTCAGAAATCAAAATGGCCAAACTAATGAACTTGAAAACTTGGACTTCATGGTCTAGAGCAGTGGTCCCCAAACTGTGGGGTGCACCGCCCTAGGTGGGCGTGGAGGAACATTTGGAGGGGGTGCGGCGGTGCCCAGGCCAGCCCCCACTGGGTGTGGGATGGGAGCACTGCTCTGCCCCCTGCCGTGGCTCCCAGCCCCAGCCGCAGCTCCTGGCCCCAGCCATGGCTCTGTTCGCGACTCTGCTCCCGGCTGTGGCTCCAGCCCCTGGTTCCCAGCCCTGCCATGGCTCCAGCCTCAGCCCCAACCGTGGCCACGCTCCACTCCTGGCTCCCAACCTCATCTGGGAGAGATGGGGGGGCACCGTTAGAGGGGGAGGTCACGAGGTAGAAAGTTTGAGGACCATTGGTCTAGAGTTTCATTTTGCCCCTGATTTAGGAAGGTCTTCCTGTTCAGGACTGCACTTAAGCATGTGTTTAACTTTAAGCACACATCTAAGAACTGTCCTGAACATGGATGGTCTAAAGCATATGCTTAAGAGTTTTCCTGAATTAGGGTCTAAAACCGATGTGTGTGTGTGTGTATGTATATGTGTGCACACTTGTGCAGATGCCTGATTTAAGCACACAAATCCCCCATTGCATTAAAGTGCATACTTGCTCAAGATGTGGATGTTAGCTTTTTTTAATATACTTATCTTATTCTGTAACTAGAGGGACACCCCAGAAGTGCCAAAGGCTTATTTCATATATTAATTTTCCCTGTTTCAATATCCTGACTAGGTTTTAGCTCTAAGCTTGTTTTATCCTAATTTATGTCTTAACATTCAGGGGCCCATATTTGCTCTTTGACCCCTTTAAACAAAAATCTCAACAATTTGAGGTTCCTGTGTATTGTTGTGTTTTATCATGTCTCCATGTAGTTATACTTAATTAAAGCAAGGAAATCACACTCCAGAATAAAATAACAAAACTGAAAAGTGAAGTGTTTTGGTTGTGCATTTTCCTTTCCCAGCTCCTTAATTTTTCCAGGGACATGTTGGACATCAATTTTATGAACATTAAATTAGGCTTATAGTGAGCATTGCTTAGATGTGTACTATTTAAGAAGAGAGAAGGTACATGGCCTTTTATTTTAATTTTACTTTGTCTTGACTGATGAACAAATCCCTCTGTGGTGTAAACACATTGATACTAGACCAAATGAAAGCAGGTCAGGCATCAACCCGCTTTCAATCTATGCTGATTCTCTCAACAGAATTATATTCCATACTTAAGATTTAGTTTTGTTGTTTTTTGTTTTTGAGAAATGTTTGAAGACTTCTGTCAGATTTTTATATTTAGTGATAATAAACTTATTTTTAAATATGCCTATTTTAAAATCTCGTTTTCTCTGCATGGTTTCCTAAGAAGCTTTGTTTATAATTTTTATTTATTACTTGTAAATACAGTGGGGCTTAAGCTCCAGTCAAGACTGGAGCTCCATTATTCTAGGCACTGTAATTGGTTCTGGTTAGTGGAAACAGCCTGTATGTATCTTTTTTATTGAGAATGTTCATGCCAATGGAAACAGTTGGATTATAATAAAAAATGATTACTAAGAGCTGAATCCAGCAAATATTTGTGGCTTCCTGGGCCAGACAAGCTCCTGAAGCCCATAGATATGATCCTTTCACAAAACATTACCCACTGTCTGCTGAGGTCATGAAACTGAGAGGAGTTTCTCCAGCTCTAGAGCTGGAGGAATTTCTGTGCATCATTCGTAGATACAGATGAAGGCAAGTGTTGCCTGATCGTTAATTAGGAATCCTTTAGTGTTTCCACTTTAATATGCCATGGTTTGGCAGGGTTCTGCTGCCTCCAGGTTGGCCAAAGAATTCTTGTTAGAATGAGGACCCCTGTGTAAATGCGAGAGACACTCACACTTAGTGAAGACCTTGTGAATCTGTGATACTTTCACTAGTACAACCAGCAATATCAGAAACTCTGCAACATAGCCAAGTAGACAGAGATAATACAAAATGTTCACCATTTGCATGCTCACACTATCCTTTGCGGGAAACTGAAATAGGTAACATAGATGATCGGCAAGTGGTCGTCACTGCAGCTTACCCAGGAAGATCCCAAATGCGTAGGCCTAGGTTGGCCCTTTTATTACAAGTTGCATGGTCGACATACA